TTGCCCTGTGTGAACTGAAGAATCTGCAAATATTCATGCTCACAATATTTTGAGCCTCTCTCTGCCCCCCCCCCCCCCTCCACATGTCTCAGAGCAGCAGAGGGAGTGTTTCTGCTTGTTACTCATCTCAAGGCTGTACATGAAGCAAAGCCCATATTTCAGGCTTCTCGTCTCATTGCAGAGACAGTGCAGTCTGCTACTGAGCACACTCAGAAAAGATCTTATCGTGCCTTTTAAAAGGATTTTTCTTGCAAACCAAGTAAAGTGGGAGTGGCCAATGTCATCTATATTCATGCCATGTTTTATAGCTCAAACATCAGATCATTCCGAAAACAAAGCAAAAAAGTTGTGGGGGGTTTTTGTCACTGCTTGCAGATCAAAAGGCTTACATGCTGTACTTTCACCACAAGGCAAATGTTTGTGCTATGTAAACTCGCAACAATTGAGATTATAATGAAAGCACTAACAGCCAATTTTGTTGACCTACAGCTCACTTATAATCACAGGTATGTTCAGTAGCTTTTAAAATCTGAAAAGACAGAAATAACTTCCTGGCTTTTCTTATTATGCAGTGTTTTCTGAGACTCCCTGCTTTAACTCAGGCTTTCATTTCATGGCAAGGTGTCTGCCACAAAGTGTCTGTGGCCCCTTGTGTTCCCAGTGCTCCGAGACAAAAAGGAAAATAAGTTAAAGATAAATAGTCTGTGTGAAAATGTTTGGTCTCAGAAACCAGGTGAAAAAACAATAACCAAAATCAGCTATAGCTGCTCAGTAGCAGGCAGAGACAGAGAAATCAGCTGCAGAAAGATCTCCTTCTGCCTCCAGAAACTTCTGTCTGCCAAATTTAAAAGGCCTCTTTCTTTTCTCCCTAAAGGGTACATAAGGAATATACTCATTTAAATAGTGTGATGCTAAACAGAGGAAGGCATCATGGCTGTTATTCCCACAAAGGCTGGCATGAGTAAATCCTGCCCAGGATGATAAAAGTCTGCAAAAGAAGGCCAGTAAAAAGCAGACAGAAAAAGTGAGATACACTGGTGTGGAATGAGTTCAGCTGTGAGATTGATAGCTGTAGTTACTATGAGCTACTCCATAAAAGCACATTCCATGATAGTCCATGAAGCATAGCTAGTTAGGGTCAACGGAACAGGGATGGCCCAGCCGTATAGAGAACTGTTTTATGTGGTCTGCTGTTCTCACAGGACTGTATCAAAACCATCAGAGAAAGCAGTTGGAAAGGAGCCTCCTGCGTGCTGCACCAAGCCATGCCTGTGCTCAGGAGGGTGGTACAACTCCAGCAGAACCAGTGAGCACACTGCTCTCCTGGAAAGCAAGGTTCCCAAAAGGAGAGAAACATGGAAGAGAGACCTGCTTATGTCCTCTCCTCCTTTTTTGTCCACTGGAGTGGTTTGAGCACACTGATCATTCTTTTTTTCCTCATGATTCCCAAAAAGAAGCACTAAGTATATTTTACCTTTCCTCTTGAAGTTCAACTTCAAAGTTAAAGTCTCTTCAGCCTGCAGGAAATTAAGACACTCATAAGACATACCTATAAACTTGTAGTTTAGGGCTTGGGTTTGTGCTTTTTTTTAACCTGGTCATCTTTCCATCTCTGTTCTGCATTTTATTATCCAAACATTTTTTGATAAGCTGTCCAAACATGCCTGAAAATATGGCTTTATGTGATTGCCACTATGTCATCAAGAGACATTTTTTCTAACCTACCACATTAAGCTAACTATAAATTTGAATAGCAGATCACATCATAAATCCCACCAGAACAAATATTTTTCTAAAAGAATTCAACATTTTCTCTGATGGGGGATGTCAGAGGGGCTTCATATAAAAGTAGTGAAGGGGGGACAATGCAGTAGAGAAGCAGTTCTCAACTGATGAAGAAAATTTGCTATTATGTTTCCAACTGAAACACTTTTTTAAAGCATTGTCTAATAAGGAGCCAGCTCTTTGATACAGTGTATTACAGTGAGTAAGAGAGCTTGGCCACACTCCCAGACGGAAAAATGACCCACTGGGTGCCACTGCCTTTGCCCTTCCTCAAGTGATCTCTCCAAATGCCACTTAATACATTAACTTTCCCAAAGCACCGAGGCTTTCTAAAGGCTGGGACATGGCCTGACCAGCCATCCCAACCACCCAGCAGCTGCTCGGAGGTGGAGGGAGCACGGTCAAGGGGCTGGTGCAGTGGCAGCAAGGTCTCCTCAGCAGGGTGCGGGTGTCAGGCCTAGAGCCTCCCCTCACAGCAACGGGGATTACTCAGCCATCCCAATTAAGCAGCCAGGCTGCTTTTAAACATCATTTCCCTTGCTTTCAGCCAGCTCCTTGGGCACTGAAACTTGTCTTGACACTAGCCACGTCCTGTCTCCTCCTGCCATGGACGAAGGCAGTGCCAGGTGTCCCTGCATCCCAGGAGTGGAGCCTTGTTAGGCTGGGTAAGATTTTCCCCTACTTTTCCCCACCCTGCTGCCAGTGGGGATAAGGGTTCATGATATTCCACATTCCTGGACAGACAGTGTACATGTCCCAGCCATGGGTGTGAAGGCCACTGATAAGGAACTACAACAGCAGCAGTTGGGCTGTGGGGTGGCAGCACCTGAGGTAGGCAGGGCCAGTCACGGCTGGCTCCAGCTGCCTCCAAACAACAGGCAATGGGACAGCCTCACCAAATGCCAAAAACTGAATGTTGCAGCACAAAATCTCACCCCAAAAAAGTCAAACAACACACAGCACCCCTTCCCAAACCTTCTTACCAAAATAACCCGTCAGCCACAGGGTGGGAGATGAGCTGTGGAGCCTCCATGGTGAACAGGGGCAAGCTCCGTGGGGGACTGCAGCCAGGCGACCCACTGGGTGACCCACACCAGGGCAGGGACAGCCCAGAGAAAGCAGGAAGCAAATTATTTGCTGTAAGGAATTGTGTTAAATCAGACACAGGTAGATACTTACCGTGTGTGTCCACTTTCTCAGCAATGCGTAGTTCAGAAAGATACCAAAACCCAGGAACAGATCATCACACTGCATGACCATGAAACCATGTGTGAGAGAATCGCAAAACCTAAGCAATGCACATGTACCTCATCTTTTTCAGTAAGCTTCTTCACAATTACATCATGCCCAACAACAGAAGTAAGAAGAGGTACTCTCTTCTGTGACAAAACCACAATATACAGATAATTCAGAGTCATTCTGGCATAATTTCTCCCTCATCTCCTTCAGAAACATTCAAAGGCCACAGCTGGAGACCATGCATGTGCACTTCAAGTGGAGCGTTTTGTATCTTGAGGGATGGACTGGCAGCAACAGAGGCAAGTGAGACACAGGAGAAGCAGTCACTTGACGAGCATGACAGAGGCTCCCCGAAGAGGGTGAGCACAAACACTGCCAGTACTGGCAGTGTGAAGGATGGGTCCCCCGCGCTGCGATGGACAGGAGGTGTGACACCTGCCTGCATTCCAAATGAGAGCAGCTGAGGAGGCTGTGACGCTCTAACACTGGCAGCACTGTTGTGCTGTACCTGTTTTTTGAAAAATGTGACAACTCCTTCAGCCTACACCTGCAGCACTTACCAGAAGGTCTAATTTTACCAAGTTCAGATGAAAATGAATTAAACAACTACCTAGAGATCCTGGGTTTCCATAAGCTTTGGAAAAGGTCTTCAAAGCAATGTAGAAAGCCATGTCAAAGTAATCCAAGTGGCACCCCTTCTAGGATTTCTCTGTTAAGCTCTCAAATCCCCCAAATTTGAATCCAGATCCTGTAAGATAACAAGAGGTGTTTTCATTCGTTCCCTTTACTACAACATGGCACTGCAGGGAAGGAAGTTCAGTGTCAGCATTGCAAACCATCAGGCACATAGGGAAAAGATAGACATGTTAAGTGTACTGTGCTGGACACGGTGTATGAGCAAGCTATGGGCTGAAAAGTCCTGTCACAAATTACTGAAGCCATACAATGAGGCTTGAAAATGAGTGCTAGGCCGTCTAATCCTTATTGATAACTGTTGCCACCCTCCAAATCAGAGTTTGAGGAGCTGAGGCTCAATGGACAGTGTAAGACTCAGGTATAAATAACCGACAGTCCTGGTTGCCATAGCTGAGCTCCCAGTGCACTGGAAGTGGGAGAGGAGTGGCAAAAAACAAACAACAGGGATGTTGTCAGCCCTGCTGGAGGGGGAGACATGAACTGGTGAAACTGGTATTGCCTGGAAAGAACAGTGCCCCTTCAAGGATAACAAGCGTACAAAATACTAAACAAAAGCCTGCTGAGCATTCACAGCTTGAGTCCAGCCACTGCTTCGAGTTGGACAGAATCAGAGATGTCAAAATAGGTGCTAATCCTGTCTCTCAGCTTTCTGACACCAAAATAAAGATCAACTGCACATAAGGCGGGTGGGAGTGGGGGAGAAGGGGGTGGGCAAGTGTGTGTGTGTAAAAAATAGAAAGAAAAAGGAGAGACAAAGGGCTGAGGTAAGAGGATGCCCACAAAGGATGGTTTGCTTTGTCCTGCAGTTACAGCAGCCAGGGCAGGAAGAAGGAATGTGCATGTGTGTGCACACCGTGTGGGACAAAGGCAGTTTATTTCCCTTCAGCCAAAAGCACTGCTGTCATCTATCAGCGTTGAACGCCTGTGTATAAGCAACACTGAATACCGTTTGCCTTCCAGTGCCTTCAACAATAGGTTTTTCGTGTTGATTTCCTTATGTGAATTTTCCTTTTGGCTTCGCTGCTCAAGTGCATCCATCTAGTTTTGATGACACTCAAACAGCTGGCTGCAGACAAGTGACAGGCTCGCGTGTCTGGTGGAGTGTAACACGTGAACACACACGGACACATACACACACCCTCCTCGTCCTGACCTCTCTCCCCCTCTCCTCTGCAATCTGCTGCATTGGAAACGTTTTATTGTGCAACTCCCTTCCCAAACTCGCCTCCCCTAACCCCGAGGGCTGCTCCCCAGACCTGCCCTCGGACCGGATGAACGAAATGGGGGGTTCGGGGCGTGCACTCAGCCTTGGCCACCGGGCGGGAGCGCGGTTGCACGGCACCGGCCCTCCGCACCGCTCCGCGCCTGCTCCGCGCCTGCGGGCTCGCTGTGCGGTGGGACCGAGAGCCTGGGGCTGCGGGGAGCAGAGGCTGGAGCGGGCGGGGCGGAGGAAGGCGGGGGGCTCTGACTGCCGGGCTGCGACTACAGCGGGAAGTGCAGGACACAAGAAGAGTTTCTGAGTGGTTAAAAAAGTTCAGACAAGCGAACTCCGTTGCTGTCAAAGATTCCCCCCTCGTGGTTTCTCTCCCTACCCCCTCCCTCCTTTTTTTATTTTTAAGGTAGTTGATGTGGTAATTAAGAATTTGGTGAGAGCCCGGTCAGGTCACCTCGTTTCTCAGATCAGAGCCTCATCAGAAATTCTTTCAAGTGTCCTTCTGCTTCTCCAAAGATGACAACAGCAAATCAATAAGTGCTTGAAATGAAAGGGGTTGCTGGCTAGCCCCCGAGGCTACAGATTTTCGCACCGCCGGCCTTTTTTTATTCTTTTTTTCCCTTCTTTTTTTTTTTTTTTCTTCGCCCCC